CCATAAGCCTAATGCCTTTGGGGGTTGGTCGGGAAACAAAATGGTAAGCAGCAGTCACGTGTGAACAACAGGGAGTGGTAGGGCCTACGGTGAGCCACGGAACATCCCCCAGCCTGAAAGGCACCAGAACGCAGTCGAAATCGGTAACACAAAGAACCCTGTGACGGAGGTCGCCTCTGTGGCTGTGCCCAGGGTCTGTCCTTGGGGACATTCAGGGCGCTGCCTGTGGGTGGAAGCCGGAGTCTTCTCTCGAACTCTCGCCCCATGTGCTGTGTTAACCCCGAGCCTACTGCTGCCTGGAAGCGCCACAGCTGATCACGAGTGATGGCCACCATCACTGAGCGCTCGCTCTGTGGCGAGGGTACCTGTTAATCACCCACCCCTCAACTCTGAGAAGCAGGTACAGTCATTCTCACTTCCCTCTTACAGATGGGGAAACGGAGGCACGGGGCAGGGAAGCAATTTCTCAGTCAGCAGTAAAGCCAGGACTCTAGCCCAATGGTCCATCCTTCACCACCCCACAGCCCTGCCCGTGTCCTGGTCACACCGCTTGTCCCAAAGAACCGCTAGGGTTGGGACCAACAGATGGCATAATGGTTACGTCGCTGGACTCCCACACAGTAGACTGCGGTTTGAGTCCCAGATCCGCTGGTGGCTTAAAACTCACACACACGTGCGTGCCCGAGATCCTGAGAGGAGAATGGAGGAGAAAGGACTGCCATGTGGCCATAGCTGCCCTGGGGGATGATTTCTCACTTTCTGTCTCTCTCTCTTTCTCTCTGTCTCTCTGGTAAGCACACATGCCCAATAGCAAAAATCTCTCTTAGAAAAAACAAAGAGAGAACTGCTGGGGTCAGCCCTCCCAGAGGTCTTGCAGCTAAGAAGTGGCGGGCAGACGGACCTGTGTCCAGGTCCAGGGGCCCTGCTCTCTCCTTCTCTGTCCCCTGGAGGGTCTGGGAGCCACCCTGACAATTGGAGTGGGACCTCGGTGATCAAGTGAGGGCAGCAGGTCTGGGGCTTTTCCGGAAGCTGCTAGGATTGGTGGAGCTGGGAGGCTTCACGGGTGGAGAGCACGCAGAGTCTGCTGGACCACAGCAAAGCCCTTGTGACTCAGCAGAAGCGCTAACGAATCCCGAATCCGGAGCCTGGAACCTGGCAGCCGCTTTCAGGCTGCCAGGCCTCAGGCTGGGTTTGCAGCCAGAGAAGCCAGGGCTGGGCTACTCCCCACACTAGTGCAGCTGGCCCGAAGAGCCAGCCTGAAACCACTCCCCAAAGCCTTTCTGGAACATTCCCTGGAGTGGCTGGAGCAGCTCTAGGTTTTCAGGAGGACTTGGGCCAGTCCTTGCACGGGATTTGGGCATCTCTCACCCAGGATGCTGCAAGGACGCTTCGGGCTGGACAGAGAATTTCTTGGAGACTATGCGAAGGCTTCATGTCACATTCTCTGTCTCCATCTGAGATGTCCCAGAGGCCATCCCCTCCATTCTCTTGCCTTTGGGATAGGTCAGGCTTCTCTTACTGCCCTACGGGGAGAGGCAGAGCTGGCCCACTCCTGATCTCTGGGCAGTAGGGATGGAGGGAGCTGAGTCATGGGTCACCCCCAGACCACAGGAGTGTCTGACAGTGCAGGTGGGACAAGGTCGGTTAGTGGCCCCATCCACGGCAGTAGGGCATCTGCTTTGAGTAGCTCAGTGGCTATGGAAGAGGTCAAGGTGACAAGGTCCAGGGGTCAAGAGTTACTGTCACGTCAGGAGCTTGGACTGTGGCCAAGGTAAGGAGCTGGGGGTCCATCCGGAGTTCCATGACTCAGCGGGAGACTAGAGCCAGGAGGTGGCCATAAGCCTAATGCCTTTGGGGGTTGGTCGGGAAACAAAATGGTAAGCAGCAGTCACGTGTGAACAACAGGGAGTGGTAGGGCCTACGGTGAGCCACGGAACATCCCCCAGCCTGAAAGGCACCAGAACGCAGTCGAAATCGGTAACACAAAGAACCCTGTGACGGAGGTCGCCTCTGTGGCTGTGCCCAGGGTCTGTCCTTGGGGACATTCAGGGCGCTGCCTGTGGGTGGAAGCCGGAGTCTTCTCTCGAACTCTCGCCCCATGTGCTGTGTTAACCCCGAGCCTACTGCTGCCTGGAAGCGCCACAGCTGATCACGAGTGATGGCCACCATCACTGAGCGCTCGCTCTGTGGCGAGGGTACCTGTTAATCACCCACCCCTCAACTCTGAGAAGCAGGTACAGTCATTCTCACTTCCCTCTTACAGATGGGGAAACGGAGGCACGGGGCAGGGAAGCAATTTCTCAGTCAGCAGTAAAGCCAGGACTCTAGCCCAATGGTCCATCCTTCACCACCCCACAGCCCTGCCCGTGTCCTGGTCACACCGCTTGTCCCAAAGAACCGCTAGGGTTGGGACCAACAGATGGCATAATGGTTACGTCGCTGGACTCCCACACAGTAGACTGCGGTTTGAGTCCCAGATCCGCTGGTGGCTTAAAACTCACACACACGTGCGTGCCCGAGATCCTGAGAGGAGAATGGAGGAGAAAGGACTGCCATGTGGCCATAGCTGCCCTGGGGGATGATTTCTCACTTTCTGTCTCTCTCTCTTTCTCTCTGTCTCTCTGGTAAGCACACATGCCCAATAGCAAAAATCTCTCTTAGAAAAAACAAAGAGAGAACTGCTGGGGTCAGCCCTCCCAGAGGTCTTGCAGCTAAGCTGTGGCGGGCAGACGGACCTGTGTCCAGGTCCAGGGGCCCTGCTCTCTCCTTCTCTGTCCCCTGGAGGGTCTGGGAGCCACCCTGACAATTGGAGTGGGACCTCGGTGATCAAGTGAGGGCAGCAGGTCTGGGGCTTTTCCGGAAGCTGCTAGGATTGGTGGAGCTGGGAGGCTTCACGGGTGGAGCACGCAGAGTCTGCTGGACCACAGCAAAGCCCTTGTGACTCAGCAGAAGCGCTAACGAATCCCGAATCCGGAGCCTCCGCAGAAGGTTCTGACCATGCCTTTAAATCAGGCCGCTGCCATTTAAGTAAGATTTAATCCCGTGGTTCAAAGTCTTCTCTTCTGCCTCCTTAGGTATGTGGTCTACGCTGCTTAGACCCTTAGGTATGTGGTCTACACCCCTGTTTAGACCCTTGTTTTGTAACTGAATCACCTGAGCTCATTTCATCGCGGCTCCTCCTAACCTAAATCACGCGAATCGCACCCTTTTTAAATCTCGCCTCGTGAAAAGGGTTTTATTTCTATCTCCCATTTTGTGCAGCTCTGCGTTTAATCTTTCACCACCTTTTTATTATTTTATTTTTACCCTTTTGTATTTTAGCTTTGTCACACTTTCATTCTTTTGCTTTTTGACATTTGGGTTTTACAATTTTACCTTGTCTAGTCAGTGCCATAAATTATTTACTTTTTCGTCTTTCTTAATGCCTTGCCTTTTTATCTCGCTCTTTATCTTCATTTTCTCTGTTATCTCTTTTAACCTTTTTGATTTTGCCCTCTTTTACCTTTTCTACTTTTAGCCACATCTACGCTCCGTTAATTGTTCACCTAACCCTTTGCTCTTTTTCTGTTCTTCCCATCTTTCACGTGTTCTCCTCCTGCGTTCCTGCGTTCCTGCGCATGCCTCGCCACTCGTTTTAGCAGTCTAATTTGTATACTGTTTGTGGACACAAAGTTGATCAGTCAAGGCTGGCAGGACATGCTCTTGTCAGGAAGTTGCCAGTGAGGGGGTCTTGCCCCCAGATTGGCGACTGGTGTCACTCCGGTCCTACTGTTCTGGCTCCATTGGCCACTTGTCACAAACCAGCGATATCCCGTCGCCTTTCCCATCATCCTCTCCACACGGTAACCAGGGACTGTGGGGAGACCCGCGGGCCCCACCTTGTCCCTGGGTGTCCATGCACTCCTGATGCCTGTTCTCCTGGGAGAACGGGGGTCTCTCCTGTCATACCCCCTCCGGTCCGGTCCCATAGCTGGTCTACGCCCCAGCCTCCAGGCACTGAGCATGCGTGTGGGACATACCAGGGGAGGACACAGAAGCATCCATAGGGCCTGTGAGCTGCCTCTGTGGGGAAGCAGGTGGGGGTTCCCTGCCCTGGCCCCCTGGAAGGCCAAGGCAGGGAGCTCAGCCTGCTCTAGGCTTTGTTCTGTGGCACCTGCCTGCTTCCCCTAACCTCAGCCTGTGGTCCTCATGCACTCACGCGGTTTATGCTAGGAGAGGCTGGTGAGGGCTGCAGCAGTCCTCAGAGAGGTTTTAGCTGTGACAGGGCTGTCTACTGAGATGGCCTGGCTTATGCCCCCAAGAGTGTCTCAGACACCCCAAGGCCTCCTGGGAGGGACTGGGCCATGCAGAGGGGCACAGCGAAGGGCAGGGAAAGGAGGCAGGGGCCTATGTCTGTCCTCCCCAGCCCTGGGTGCTAGATGCAGAGACCCTGGGCACCTCCAGAGCCACTCCTTGGGCTGAAGAGTCAGGAGGAAGTGCAATTCAGTCCTGGAAGGGAGAGAGGAAGCTACGGCTCCATCCAGAGGAGTTGCCATGGCTGCCAGCCCTTGGGACGGGCCACTGCAGAGCATGGGCCCACTGGGCTCTCCAGCACCCACCTAGCTGGGTGACTCATGGGAGGGCCTTTGCCCTGGAACTGACAGGGAGAGGTAGACCCGGGGTGTTGAGCAGTGGGTAGGGGGGCCCTTACTCCCACCCCCTGCCCGGCTTTGCTCATACCCTGGGGCTCAGGGAGTGTGAGGTGAGATAAAAAACCCAGGACATTTGCCTGTGGCCTGGGCGGAGTCACGGAGTCCCAGCTGCTCCCTAGGAGCTTTCCAAGGGACCATAAATGTCTCCACCTTTCTGCCGCCCAGCACTGCCACCCTCGGGCTTCCCGACAGCCTTCCGAGATGTACCCAGGCAGTGACGGGGCAGGGGGTGAGGAGGGTCTCTCCAGCCCAGACGGCCAGCCCCCCTCCAATCAGATGGTCCTTTCGGCAGGGGCTCCAGGCTCTTACCAGCACTGTGGTGACGATGAGTGACCTGTTCGTCAGCGAGTCGGTGACGTTGGGGCCTCGGCCTTTGGCAACCTCTGTGATGTTGAGCCCATCAGCGGGACTCCACACTCCAACCTGGACGGACAGACAGAAAGCGGTGCTGAGTCCACGTTCCCGTTGGGGGAGCTGCAGTGACCCTACAGCATCACACGTGTGCTTTGAGTGATGTCTGCCTGTCCTGCTCCTCCAGGGCCCCCAGGTGTGCAGTCTCTTGACACTGTCACCTGCCCTTGCCGGCAAACCCATTACCACTCAAGGGAATGCGCAGAGGGAGACGGTAAATGCAAAGGCAGCTCTAGGGGCCTGGAGAGGCCAGCTCAGGGCTGAGCAGGTGCCTTGTAGGGGCTCGGGGATCCAGAGTCCTGGTTGGCAGGTGCTGCCTGGGACACCTCCTGGGGAAGAGCCTGGCCACTGTCTGCTCACTCATGGGGTCTCAGCCCATGCCAGCCCTAGGCACACACGCCTCCCAGAGGCCCAGACAGGCTGCAGCCCAGAGAGGCTCGTCTCACATCTGCAGGTGGAGGAGACGACACGTGTGGTGTGCGGGGAGACAGGCCAGCCAGGAGCCTGGTCTTTGGAGCTGTTTTGGCATAAGGAGGGGACGAGCCTTGTGGGGGCACAGGTGCCCAGCTCAGAGGCAGTTCTTACAGCTGCCTCAGTGGTACTGTCCCAGTCCTTCTAGTGTCCTACTGCTACCAGGCCTCAGGCTGTGGGAGGAGGGGAGGTCAAGGAAACCGTCCTAAAGCCTCGGGCCTCTTGAAGGTCCCTTTTGACCCAGTTGTGCCCTCTCTCATCCTCTCTCTGGGAAGGCTTCGGCATGCCCACTCTGTCCTTGGCCTAGTTGAGAGGTACTCAGGAACCTTAATCAATTAAACAGAGAGGCCAAATGCAAACATCCCATTAAGAGAGCTGTGCAAAGCAGATAGCAGGAAGACGTGTAATTATGCCCGGGTAATTCCGCCTTAATCCTCCCAAAGCCACCGGCTGGAGCCGGCTGGCTCGCTATGACCCAGCTTAGCAGACAGAGGCGATGATCTGAGAGCGAGTGGCTGTACTGGGGACTTGGCGCCCTCTCAGGGCAGCATGGCTGCCCACATGGATCGCCCAGGGCCAGAGGAGAAGAGACAGGCAGACGCAGTGAAGAGGCTCTCCTCTTAAGTAGGCGGAGCTCAGAGCCAAGCTCAGCATGAGGATGCCTAGTAGAGCACCTGGGTGCAGGAGGTGCTCAGCAAACACCTGTCCAGAGGCCGCACAAGCAGCTGGAGCCCTCAGTCCAGAATACATCTACTGAGCTCCGACTGCATGCCCTGCTGGACACCAGGTGACGTGGGGATGTGAGAACAGTGAGGACTGTGGAGGCTCCGTGCTCACTATCCAGGTGGCTGTGACCAGGGGCCTCTGGTGGGCTCTGTGGCAGGCCAACCTTTGCCCAGGGATAACAGAGTTTGTCTTGGTATTAGCTATGGTCAATTTGTAGCAGCTGCCTGGAGGGCTGCTGGGAGAAGGATGGTGCAAGTGGGCTCAGAGGAAAAGAGCGCTCAATGATCAATTAGTGATGCCTGTCATAGACACAGGAGTGGGAAGGGTGGCATGTGTGCTGTCTAATTGCCACCTCGAGAATTTTAGGCCCGCCACAGAGATGGGGAGCTGAGAGAATGAAAACGGGGCAGCTAGTTGCATGAACACTGTGGTTTTGCGAGAGGAGGAAGGGCATTCTCTATTGCTGCAGGGGTTTAGACAGAAGCTGGGAGATTGTTTGACGAGAACTCGTGTAGTCTGTGAGAGGTCTTCAGAGAAGTCGTGGTGAGTGCATGGATTTCACTTTTCTTTTTTTGTGCCAAAATAAACTCATGCTTTAATGCCATTTTTCCACATATTATACTATTCAAAGTCTCCTCACATAGGGTTGAATCAACTGGCCTGGATGATCCTAATAGGATAAGAAGCCACAGCCCTTGCCCTCAAGGGACGGGAGCTATGGGGACATGAAGTAGTCACAGAGGAGTGGTGAGGTTTCCTAGCACCCCTTCCCTTGCAGAGTCCCCCAGGACTCAGTGGGAAACTCAGGAGTGGGTGGAGTAACCATGCTATAAGGTGGCGAGGCTGGTGTTGAGCCAAGGCAGAGCTGGTGCTGGTGTGAGGGACAGAGACCACACCCTACAACAGAGCAAAGGCAGGGATGCAGGAGGGATGGTGCTCCACTGGCTTTGCTGTTTTTTTTTTTTTTCCTCCTATAGGGCGTGTGCGCTCGCCAGGAAGACAGAGACAGACAGAGAGACAGAAAGCGAGAAGTCACCCTCCCAGCAGGGAGGGCCATGCCGCAATCCCTTCTCCATTCTCCTCTCGGGATCTTGGACACACATGCACACATGCCCGACGTGAGTTTAAGCCACTGGGTCTGGGACTTGAACCGTGGTCGACTACATGGGAGTCCAGTGACATAGCCATGACGCTAACTGCTGGTCCCTAGACTTCGCTGTTTCAGGGAGGGGTGGAGACTAGGCCTGGGAGGCAAGTCGGGACATTTCCCAGAGGGCTTTGAAGGCCCCAGATCAAAGGCTGAAGCTTAATGCCTGGGCCCTGGGGAGCCGCCTGCAGTTTCAGAGTGGGAGAGATCTGTGCCTGGGGAAGCCTCAGCAGTGTGCACATCCGGATGGCTGAGGGCCCGGAGTGGAGGTGGGAGAACCAGGGCCGGACCAGGGAAGGAGGGGAGGGAGAGGAGTCAGACTCCTGAAGGCCCAGAGGCGTGAGACAGGGCCTGACTACTGTCCTGGCCTCTGTCCCTACGTTTTATACACCCTGCTTTGCAGGATTAGGGGAAGACCCCAGGAGCCCCCAGGGATCAGCCTGCTGCGGGGTAGGGTGTGGCTGAGCCCCAGACCATGGGTTTCAGGGGAAACCGCCCTTTTCAGCCCAGCAGCCTGACTGAGGATTATGTTGAGGGTTCCCAGGGATCAGAACTGGCCCCATGGGTATGTTTCTGAGTTAGCCAGATGGGAGGCCCTGGCCCCAGGCAGGCTACCTTCCTCATCCAAACTCTCTGGAACCACACAGGACTTAGAGGCATGGTGTGGAGGAGCTCAGAATCCATGTGCTTCAAACTCTTCCCAAGGGTGAGACTCACCTCCAGTCTCCTAGACTAGCAATTGCTCTATCTTTACTTAAATGCCTCCAGTGACAGTCAGCTCACTACTCCCCACGCAGGCAACCCCGGTGGTTGAAAGATTCTTTCATTCACGACAGCCCTGCAGAGACTTAGAGGCAGTCTGCCCACCTGTGAGCCTGCCCACCCTGTTTTCCAGAGTAACCGTCCCTGAGGTCTCTGGCTCACAGTGACGGTTGTCTGCGATGGCCAGGCCACTGCACCCTCCAGTCTGGCCAGGCCTTCCTATTCTCTGATGGGCTCACCGAGGCACAGGCCACACTGGGTCATGCCCAGCCAAGACGGCAGCTGTGCTGGGTCTTGTCCCTGCCTCTGGGCCTCTGCCAGGGGACTGGGAAGCCCGACTTCTCTGCTCGGCCACCCTCTCCGGAGCCCACGCACCTTCTCCAGGCCGTCCTCCTTCAGGCTGATGATGTCCAGATCGAAATCTGTCCGCAAGCCACTGGTTTTGTTGAAAACAATCCGTCCAGTTAATCCTTCCCATTGAGCCTGCAGAGGGGAGAGGGCAGAGCGGCAATTCCTCGGGCTCATAAATCATCATTCGGTACAACTGTACAATGCTTCATTTTAATTACTCCTCGCACTGATACTGTTCCCCCAAGACCATGATTAATTAATAATCACCTCCATCATTGCTGGGGCTGCGGTACGAGCCGGCGATTTCCATAAATTCTATTATGCTCTTTAGCCAGCTTTACATTTGCACCTTCTCATGTACAACATCGATCTCGGATGCACTCAAATGAGCCCCCCCCTCCACGCCCCGGGAAGGGGGGAGCCTCTGTCAGATCCCTGGAGAGGGGCAGGCGAGCCCCACCAACAGGCAGAAAGACCAAGGGCCCAGCTGGCCCAGGTCTACAGCGGATCTCCGAGTAGCTCCCAAAGAGGCGGGCGACCGAGAGGGCACCTCCACCCGCCCAGCCCCGCTCTGGGGTCAGAATGCTGAGTTCGGCCGCAGTTAGCTTGGTGACCCCCCGCATGTCATTCCATTTCTCTGCCTCAGTTTCCACATCCATAAAATGGAACAACCCTAGGACTCATCTTACCAAACACTATGAAGGTGAAATGAGGTGTTGTGTAGAGTACTGAGAACAGCACCCAGCACAGGAGCCCAGAGTGCAGAACGGCTGGGTCACCCCTCAGGGGCGGGCGTCCTGTGGCTGGGAGCCCCCTCGCGGCTGTGTCCATCAGCCGTTCGGAGCTCACAGCCGCGCGGACATGTTACCTGTGGCTACTTTCGCGCTTTAACCACCACGCTGAACGGCTGCGCGGAGCCGCTGGGCCACAGAGTCCCGACAGACCAAGTTTGCTGACTCCATTCTAGTCTGTCCCCTGGGGGCCCAGAGCAGCAAGCTCCCGTTACAGACCGGAGGAGACTGAGTCAAGTTCACAGAATCAATGAGACTCAGGACGAGGCCCCACACTAGAACTCGGGCCTGGCAAGGATCAGCCTGGCAGGTGGGCAAGGCAAGGACAGGGTCCCATCACACAGACTGGGGTTTACAGAGTCAGCAAGAGTCAAGATGAGACCCTGAACTAGAACTTGGGGTCCCCTCAGCCCAGACCCATTCCCTTCCTCTACCTCCTCCACAGGTTTAGGATGGGAGGGGGGTTCCGACACCCAAACGTTCTGTCCCAGGGACCAAAGCTGAGCTTGGGAGTGAGAGAAGGGAGAAAGGACGGAGGGCGTCCAGAGAAGAGGCTCTGGGCAGGGACGGTCTGCTGTCAGGAAGCTGACTCCACGTCCTACTTTGCCACAGGCCCTTAATCCAGAAGTCTCCATGGTCTCTCCCTGGCTGGAGGCTCCCAGCACCTCAGCATACCCTCACATCCAGCCCACGAGTTCACGGGTTCACAGCCCTGGGGGTTCATCTAGGGATTCCAAACTAAAACCCTAAAGCCTCTGAGTACTGTCAAATGTGGGAAATGGGGCAGATGGGAAAGGGAGCTCAGGCAGAGGGACAGGGCCTCGGAGGGGCCAACCCCCGGAGCCCAGGAAGGAACTACCCACCTGATGGGTATTCAAAGAGGGGCGTAAAGTCGAAGCCGCACAGCCGCGGCCTAGGGTGTAGGTCCGTGCCGGCCACGTTCTCCTTTGCTGTGTCCACCCACGGTGGCGGGCAGGGGATGCTCCCTCGGGTTAGGGCCGGCCCTGGGCTGGGGAGGGAGGGCAGTGCGGGGGACCACAGCAGAGGGTCCCAGTAGGAGGCTGATGGCCGAGGGCTCCATGACCCTGACTGCTCCTCCCAGTGGGCATCCTCCCTGCCCCCCCTCACAGATGTGGACACTGAGGCTCAAGGGGGGACTGAGCTACACAGGTCCCAAGTATGGCAGCAGGACAGATGCTGTCCCTGCCGTGCAGAGCTGAAAGGTCTGGTGTCTCAGAGCAGGGAGAGTTTACATGGAGCCTGGGGAGCTGAGGATCAAGAGGCTGGGGACTGAGATGAAGAGGCGTGGAGTTGGAAAGCACTGTTTAGGACTTCACAGGGAAGCTTGGCTTCCCTGGCTTCCCTGGGGCTGGCTCCCAGGCCTGCCCGCCCCTCCTCTGCACGCCCACCCCCTCGGGCTACCTCCTGGCCCCCAGGAGAAGTCGCCCCCAGGGGAAGTCGCAGCAGGGGCCTTCAGACTGCCTCTGAGGCAACCTTCCTGCCTGTCAGCTCCAGAGGAATGAAATGCCAGCAGGTGCCTGGCCTGTCTGTGGGCGGGTGGGCAGGGGCAGGCCAGAGCCGCAGGCAGCTCCTCCCCTGTGACATTTTCTGCAGCCCGCCCCCTCAAACCCGAGCTCGGACTTGCTAAATGAGAGATGCCTTGCACGCTCTGAACTCCGGCCTGGTATTTCCCAGCTCCTCTTGAAATGCCAAGTCTTTAAAATGATTTACTGTCGCGCAGTCGGATGGGGGACGTGGGAATGGTCCGGGAAGACGGTGTGCAGGGTGCAGGCAGGCGCCCTGGCTCTGGCCGTGGCCCACCGTGGGACCACAGTCAAGTCACGTGGCTACTCTGGCCTTTAAAGTGGGGATGAGGGGATGTCTCTGCAAAGGCTCCTTAAGGAGCAGGTGGTGAGGGTCATTCCTGGGCCTGGGCCAGGCTCACAGCCCAGGGTCAGCCCCAGGGGCAGTGGCTAATCTGTTCCCTCAGGGGTTCGTGGCTGGGCCTTGAGCAGTCCAAGGAGTGAGGGGTGAACGGAGCGGGTGCACATCAAGCAGGTGACCGGGAGCCTCGGTGAGGGTGCGGCGACAATGGAAACCCAGGCTGGCAGCTGGCCCACCCACACCCGCTCAGGGCTCCCACTAACCCCCTTGGTCCCTCCAGCACCCCCAGGACACTGTTGTCACCTGTGCCACCCAGAGGGACGCTGAGGCACCCCTGTGCAGTGGCTTGTCCCATGGACAAGGGACCTGCAGTGGCTTGTCCCGAG